CAACAAATACCATTTTTGCAGTGGTCCAATCAACATTTCATCAGTTTCTTTCAACCTATTAACATTACCAGCGTTCTTCTCCCTAAAACGATTTTTTGCCTTCTCAATCCTCTGCTTTTCCTCTTCACGCGTTTCACACCACACACCACGTACGGCAAAACGTGCATTTGTTTTAAAACTTTCCATAGAATTTCCTCCTAATTCTCTGTGAATGCCCCGTACTAGATTAATTGTTCTCAATACTAATAGCATGTCCCTAGGTAATGATTCTAAAAAATCAAAGAAATCATTTAACGTGATTTTTTTCAGTTGTTCATGCACTAATGCCTTTTCCTCGGGGGACATGTCCTCACCCAGAGGTGTAGAAGAATCGGGAATTCTTTGGGTAAATATCAGCGGTAAAAATTTTATATACTTTGGTGTACCCATCTGATGGGCTGTTTTCTCTAGTAATGTGGTGTCATTGAGTATCAATGCTTTCCACAGGTCGCAATAAGTTCGACGAAAATCATCCGATAATTCCCGATATAATCCATGATCTAGTAACACCAGTTGAGCTTTCTTTGTCTTTGGAGAAATGGCTACTAAAGCATTCCCAGGATGTGGATCACAATGCACCACGCCATGACAGAATATCATCTCAGCAAAAACCTCTAACAACAAATCTCTCACCCACTTGGGATTCACCCCTAATGATTTTAACCCTTCCCTATTATTTACTTTAACACCTTCTATGTATTCCATTGTGAGTACTCTTTTTCTTGTCAATTCCCATACAATATCCGGCACAGTTAGTTCATCACTACGATGTCTAAATCGCTGTTTGGTCAATTCTCCATTTCTTGCTTCCTTTAGAAAATCAAACTCTGAGATCAAATTATTTCTGAACTCTGTAATGATCCAAGTCAATTCGAATTCTGGAAAAAAATACGATATCAAATTGGAAATTGATTGCATCGTCCAAATATCAACATTAAATAGTCGAGACACGTCAGGGTATTGGACTTTCACTGCCACGTCCTGTCCATCTTTGGTTTTTGCTGCACAGATCATTCACGCATTGGTTTAATTGATCATTAATATTACATGAACAAAAGATGTTATTTCATCACATAAATGTAAGGATGGAAATTTGCTACTGTCTTTTTACCTCTATGCACTTGTGCTAAAGATGCTGCTGCGATTGGAACCTCATCGAACTCGGCATACAAGTCTTTTGGTCTCAATCCGTCAAATTCTTCAACAAATACTTTGCTTACATCGCCCATACCTCTAAAAGGTGCTTGATCTTGTAACACCGATAATGTTTCGGTATACTCTCGGGGTATGATGAATGTTAATGATGCCAGATGTTGAGCTCCTGAAGATTTTTTTTTTCACGGATAATTAATATAAGTATATAAATACATGAAGGTTGGAAACACGGCTTTATAAATAGATCACCTTTGACATAAATTCCAGTGTGAAGTCTACAAAGTCTCAATAATCTCTTTGCAACTCGAAGATGAACCACTTTTCGCGCTAACTTATATTCCTCCGACGTATATCCTATATTTCTGTACCTAAAATATAACCATTTATAGTCTAACATACATAAAAAACTAAAGTAAAAAAACAAATATCAAATCAAAAGAGTGGTTAATAATAATTCCGTACTTACGGTTCCCATATCATTCCGAACCTAATCATACCATGTAGCTAACGTCACCGTTGAACGAAATATTCCTGCGCATACAAGCGTAAATCGATCTCTGTAAGTCTCCGACCAAGTTAACATCATAATCGTAGTTGCCGTGGTTATACCCAACGCCCCCAAACTAGCTTGGCGAAAAAATTTTCCAATTTTAGCCAATGTCAAAGCATCGGGATTCAATATCTGCTTATTTACTAGAATCCCCAATGAACTTGGTAAATTATGTTTTGACATATTCTTTAGATTAAAGAAATATGATGAATAATGACGTTTTTGAACTATGTTAGATAATGCTTTTGATTTACATAAAGAGGATAAGTATTTCGGTTGATATATGAAACCGGGATTGCATGTTTTTTTTAAATTTAATCTTATCCATAAGAGACGGCTTGGAAATAATATCATACGAGGAATGTTCATTTTTGCAAAGAAAACAACGATTTGTCTACCTGCCATCTTTATAAAAAAATTTCTGGAAAAACTGACCAATAGAATGTTTGCGAGAGCCGTCCAATCGGATCTAGAATCAGGTTCACGAATTGTTATTCTTTTTTGTCTAAGAATTCAACATCATACTTTTTTTGATCGATGCACTTTTACATAGTCCATGTACAAAGAGCAGTTAAAACAAACAAAATAGCTCGTGATATTCCAATTTTGGATTCATATTATATTAGAATTTCAATACTTTTCGGTAAAAAATATCTTCATTTCAAATTAGACCATGCATTTACAAAATTAGCATTTATACGGTAAGCTTGCGGACTTTTTTTTTTTTAAAGTAATCACATTTTATTTTTCATGCTACGTATAGTCCTATTATTTTACGGATAATTGTTGCGTAAGAAATATTCTTCAGTATAATCAATAAAATAAAAAAAAATCATATAATTAATGTTATTTTTCGATGAATAGAAATGTAAAAATATAAAGAATTATTTTTTAAAAATAAAGATATAAGTAATTTTGCTCAGAAAATTAAAATTGATAGCATGATACGCTATATGTAATTGAAAACAAAAATTTGTTAATAAATAAACATTAAAAATATAAAAAAATATGCTTTAAAATATTATTTTTTAATATTTTTTAAATATCATGAAGAAAGTTTTTACGCAGTATATAACCTTTGTACTTTAGAATATTTCAACAATAATAAAGATCTTCGAGGTATTATCTGTAGAACACATTTCAAAATCTTTTATTAAATAATATTACTTTTAAATTTTTTTGAAAATAAAATCATATTATCTTTAAAATCATATTACTTTTAAAATTATTTTGCTTTAAAATATTAATTTTTAATTTTTAATAATATAAAGTAAATAATAATGATAATAATATTAAAATATAAAAATCAAATATAAAAATTTGATTTAAATTAATTACATTTACAGTTTGTATAATTTCAAAATTATTAACAAATCTAAGAAAATCAAAAGCATACAAAATAACAAATATAGTAACTTGATTTTTTAAAAATTTTAACAATATAATTATTAGGCTATTTTTATTTAAATTTTTTTATTAGAAAAAAATTCCTTAAAAAAAAATAATTTGTAACTTTAATTCTTATTTAACTTTTAATTAAATAAATTCAAATAAATAAATAATTTTTAAATTAATATAAATTTTTAATATTGAATTTTTAGACTAATATAGTAAAAATTTAATTTTTAGAAAGATAAATACTTATAATTACTTTAATACATATAAATTCTCTATTTTAAAGATTTATTAAAAATATAAGTTGTTCAAAGTTTTATAGACTAAGAAATTTTAAGCATTCTATTTAATTAAATTTATTAATAATTTATTAAATATTGTATAAATCTTTGAATAAAAATAAATATTAAATTAAAGATTTTTTTATATATAATACTTATTGATAAAATATTATAGGTTTTGAAAAATTTATTTAAAAATTTTATTCTTATATAACTTAAATATTTATAATTAAACTTTTAAAATTAACTTATATATAATAAACTTGAAATATAAAAAATAATTTTATATTAATTTTAATAATAATATCTTTTTATTTTTAAGAAAAAATCAAATTTTTATTTAATATACGTATATCTAGTTTAAACTTTTTTTTAGACTAATTATTAAAACTTTAGAAAAAAAGTAATTAATAAATGCTATTTTTTAAAAAGTTTTTATTCTTAATAGTAATAAAAAATAAAAAGATTTCTTAAAAAAAAAATAAATTTAATAAGTTTTAATTATTTATTCAATAAAATTTTTTTAATTGATTTTATTTTTATTTAATAAATAATTTTAATACTTAATAAAAAATTTTATAAAAATATAACAATAAAAAATATTAAATTAATATATATTCTCCAATCTATAAATATAATAATCAATAAAAAAACCAATATCTAATTTTTTTATAAATTCAAAAGCAATAAATTTATTTGCTAAATATTAAAACTCTATAAAAAAAATATCAAATTTCTTAAAATTCTATTTGTATATAAATATATATATACGGTAGCTCACATAAATAACCGATCACCGATCAATTTTTATTATATATATATATATAAATTTTAAAATTAAAAATTAATTTTAATAACATATTTAAATAATAAATACTTTTAAATTTTAATAATATTTTGAAATTAGAACTAATATTTTTAAAAAATGGCATTTAAAAAATTTTATATTTAAAATATAAAAAATTATTTAATATTAACAAAAAATATTATATATATATATATATAATATATATAATTTTTTTAAAAAATTAATTAATTAATTAATTAATTATTATATTTGCCAGTAAAATTAATTTTTAATTTAATTTATATAAATATAAATATTCAATATTTAAATTATATAAAAATTTTTAAAAAATAAACATTTGTTGTTTAAATATTAATTAATTAAAAAAATCTATTATTTTTATCGTCTTTGCAAATCGTAAATGATCTTCAAATGAACAATTATTCTAGAATTATTAAAAAAATACATATATAGTAATTAAGCCATTCTAGCCACATAATTTTTATTATATATATATACATATTTTAAATTATTTTTTTTAATTTTAAACAATGCCACGATTAACTTTAGAAAAAAGAGCAAGAATTATTCTTCTTTTTGAAGAAGGCTATACTTCACGACAAATTGCTGCACGCGAAAATGTTGCACAGTCTACTGTTATTGATACAAGAAAAAGAATGCTATTAACTGGAAGTCTATACGATAGATCAAGACCTGGACGACCAAAACTTTTAACTGAACGACATGAAAGAAAAATTGTTCGTTATATATCAACTGGTGAATGTTCTACAGCAGTTGATATTCAAAAAAAATTAAAAATAGTTGATCAAATTGATATTTCTGCAGAAACAATTAGGCGTATATTGAAAAGAAATGGATTAAAATCCAAAATTAAATGCAAAAAACCTTTCCTTTCAAAAAAACATAAAAAAAAACGATTAATATTTGCTAAAACTTACAAAGACTGGACAGTTAATGACTGGAAAAAAATAATTTGGACCGATGAAAGTAAATTTATGTTATATGGTTCAAATGGAAAACAATATTGCTGGAAAAAACCCAATGAACCATTAAGTGAAAAACATATTAAACCGACACTTAAATTCGGTGGTGGTAATATTATGGTTTGGGGTTGTTTTACAGCATATGGTATTGGAAATCTTTGCCGTATTAATGAAAAAATGGATGCAGAACTTTATTGCCAAATACTTGAAGAGGATTTTCTTGCAACCTTAAAATGGTACAAAATAAACAAAAGAAATATTATATTTCAACAAGATAACGATCCTAAACATAAGTCAAAATTGGCATTGGAATGGTTTGATCGTAACAATATTACTATACTTGATTGGCCTGCACAATCGCCTGATCTTAATCCAATGGAACATTTATGGAATGAAATGAAAATTAGAATTCAAAAATCATCGTTTCAAGCAAAAAATAAAGAAGAACTTTGGGACAAAATACAAGATATTTGGAATAATATAGATATTGATACATGTGTTAAACTTATAGAAACTATGCCTACAAGAATAAATGATGTAATTAAAGCCAAAGGTGGATATATTGAATGGTAAATTTGATATATTTATTTAAAAAATTTTATCGTATATAATTTATTAAATAATAAAAACAATTTTATTAATTATTGGAACCAGCTACGACAATTTGAATTAATATTTACATGTTGGCCTGAGTATTCTTGATCGCCTTCAAGAATAATTTCTCTATTTTTTTCACTATTTCTTTTTAATGACTCTATTAAAGCATCGTGAGCTGGCAAAT